TTTCTTTGATAACTATTAAGGGAATTGGAAGAAAATATTGTCGATGTATACAAATAAAAGTTGCCTTAGTCGTTTGTTGGTATGTGATCTCGTGTTCTACGTGTTCATGGTTATGGAGATGATATTAATCCTTAGGTACTAACATTCGTTAAATTCCGTTTTTCAATATTGTATGGTTTGTATGTTCATTCTTATACTGTTCTGCTTATTCTTAAAAAACAATCAGGTGAGTATCCGTCAAAATACGGACATGAGATAATGTTCAAAACCGGTTGAGATGAGTATGGAAAAAAAAAATGTGGGCTTAAATGTTCTGTGATATTATAATATAATTTTTATGAATAATTAGAAAGCAAGAGTCTTGATAATAAATTAAAAAACAACAATAAACTTAGGCCGTCTTCCAAAAATGGTATCGAAGGAAAGCAAAACATGCTCGAGAACAATCAAGGTACATATGATTGGTCTACGTGGGGCGCTGAAAATACTCAGACGGTTATGTGAAGCAAATTAAGTGTTATTGGGAGGGGGGGTCACACTATGTGTTTCGAATGAATATTTGAGAAGGAACCAATCCGATAAGAAAGAATAAAGTTGGCAATAAACGTAGCCTTTTTTCCAAGGCACCCGTGCTATCCCGAATGACCTCCTCTTGCCTAGGCCCGTTCCAAAAAGTCATGTTCTCTACCCCCTTTGCTCCTATCTCATCAAAGTCGCCCAAGCAAAAGAGGAGAAGAAAGGTGAGGTCAACGGGTTGCTCGACCTCGATCGCTAGGAATGACTCTTCCTGGATCCACGACCTTCGAGGCTGGCTGGGGAGAGGTGCGGAACGCCTCATAGACCCATTTATGAGGGTGGTGCAATGTTGTTGTCGTGGAGCCAATGCCTACTTCTGAGATCTGGCCTCATGCTCAGGCGAGGAGAATGGGTACTACGAACTACTTCCTAGCGATCGGGCCTCGGAAAGGTCAGCGAAGACATTTTACCTTCTTCAAATCTTTTGTGGACGGATGACTCACTTAGTATAACTAAGGCTGACTGCAAGTAGGAGCCGCCTCGATTAATGTGGATTGGAGTCAAAAGAAGTTCTGATCCCTATGACAAATTTATCCGAATCGAAAAGTGAGTCCTACCAGAGAATGACAAACGGGAAACGTGGACAAACGAGGTACATATGACTCTATCGCATGGGGCTCTGAAAAGACTAAGGGGCGTATAGGATCACAAAACGAACATAAGAACCAAATGAGGTATAGTAACAAAATAGGAGGCGTCTTAATTAACCTCAATAGGAGTCCAAAGAAGTTCCGGTCCCGATTAAACGTTTGCACAAACATGAAAGTGGACCTATACATCTATATTTGCACGGACAACGAAATTCTAATCTGAATTAACATTGATTAATCTGGATAGATGCGCTAAGGGAAAAAAAAAAATGAACTGGCTCCTTATTTTCTTTGATTTTTTGTGCTTCTCATTTCGGTTGCGTTCTATATGTTGCACTTCGTCTTCTTTGTTTTTCCTGTTTTCTTTTTTTTTTCTATTTCACTCCATATTACTGTTCTTCATATAATTACACCGATATACGGATGTTTTGAAGTGTCTTCTTTTCGTTCTGATTGTCTATATGCATCTTATTCCTCCTATCCGTCATGACGTGCTCATGTACAAATACGTACGTATTTCCCCATTAATATAGCAGAGGACCAAGGTCAGCATGACGATTCAACCAACAGTAATCTATCCACCGTTCCAACCTTCTCTTCACATGCGGATAGGTCCTTGCATGTTCTGTGGAAGCGTCGCAAACGCCTTCGTCGTTGTGGAAGAGTTGTTAAGGATGCTTTGACAGAGGCTGGATTAAAATATTTCATTTTGGGTGTCTTCGCCGATAGTATCAAAGTGTACTCGGTGTCCTTCTGTTGTTCCAGGTCATGTCAGTTTATCTTCGTTAGACCACCCTTCTTCCTTATTCAACCATGGATTGGAATTGGGTATAGGTTCGAATATTACTCCCGCTCGCTCTGCCAGTGATATATTGATGTCATCACAACACGAACACCGCAAACGTGGACGACCACTTTCCCAAAGTCGTTGAACCAAAATGTCTTTACAACAGGCGGTGAGTGTTGGAGGTGATAGGATTGCTCCGAGGAGAGATAAACAACCAATGGTAACTCAAGATGATGGTCCTGATTGTTCTCCCAAAGAACAATATAGTGATAGGTCTCTATCTTTTCGATAAGCGATTCCATCGATGAATGATTTCACAAGCCCTGTGTTTTTTAAAAGAACGAGTCAAGGAAATATCAGTGTTCGTACGGGTCGCATTATTTGTCATGAAAATCTTTCTATGACCTTGCAAAGTGAACGTCCACTTGAAATTCTTACGGATGTTGCAATAAATGCAGATTCGGTTTCGATGGTTGAAAAATCGGTTCTAGTCGATGATTTTCTCTTGCACTCGGCACATGTGCACAATTGTTCATCGTCTACATTGACTGCCAATGTCCGACAAAAATGTGTGGAGAGCAACCTTTCTCCAACTTTGACAAATGTTCATGCACATCCATCTTTTGCTGCTACGGCCCAACCGAATTCGCCGAACACATTGTTTCGAAAGTTGATTGGATCTCATAATCGACAAAGAATATTATTATTATGGAAACCGATTTTTTCAAGGTGCAACAAACGGTACCGTATGTTGTTGATTCGACGATTGCGTGTCAATAAAGTCGTGCGTCGTTTGGAACTTGAATCGTTGTCGTTGATGCCTTACCGTGTGTCATCGGGCTATGATGGAAGTGCGATAGTTGTAGAAAGTATTGTAGAGGTTAGTGGAGGAACGGAACAAGTCGATAGAATCAATGTTAATGAAGCATGTTCGACGTCCCGTAAGATTTCAAAACGAAGGAAGAGCCAGGGAAGACGACCAAACTTTCATGTTAAACGCATGTGTGCATTGAGAGTTGCAGTTAAGAATCATAGGAGGAAAGGTGATGAGCGTGCTCATAAAAATTTTGTGCGGATTGTGAGGTGAAGTTTGTTCGCTGTGAATATCCTTCGAGAGATTAGAGTAAGCGCCTCTGCGCAATCAACGAGTGCATCTTCTCCTGTGAGACAATTGAGGAGTCCATCTTCGTGGGCGAAACACTCGCAGAGTCTGTCCTCGCGAGCGAGGTAATCGCAGAATCAATCCGTGAGAAATCAAAATTCAATGAACAATCGTGAAGACAGTGAGCCAAATAGTCGTGAGGAAGAAATGAATGATTCACATGATGTTCCGGCTCCTGATCTGAATGCACTCCCATCAGCACCGATGACAACAACATATGCAGCGGTTGAGAACACTTTAGTGATTTTTGGAAATGCTAGCACTGTTGAACCGTTCAACATTATGGTGCTAAATTGTGGCATCATGGTGCTAAATTGTGGCATCATAAAAGAAAATGGACAAAGATGTGTTGATGAAAATGTACAAAATTTTGTCCTTTGTGGGAATGATCTTGCGAAGGCTCCCCTGAGCATGAGATTTTTTCCCTTTGGACGTTTCAAACTTCCGACGGTTGATTCCTTCGAAACAATGCGAGGATAATTAATAATAGTTTATCCCTCACATCCTCGCAGTTGAAGCAGCCGAGCGATGGTGTTCGAGGATTCCAGGGCCAACTTAGGGTTCAAGGTCGAATTTTTCATCGTGTCGGTGCATTGGCTGTGGGGGAAGGGGAACGTCCTCAGTTTGCGAAACTATACTTGCACGATCCTCAACGTTTGGACAATGTGATTGACCAAAGGGTATATTTCTTTAACTTACCTGCACGTACATCCAATTTCGAACTTGATCGAGCGAAACGCATATTAAGAAAATTTCACAAATTACTACAACGATGTAACAATTACGCGAAGGACTTTATGGCGGTTGTCGACCTTCCGCCGGAGGTGTTGAACGGGAGGAAGTTGGTCATAAATCCGGATGCCATGTCTGATGAGAAATATGCAAGGTATTATAACCGTCCTATGGGTTTACATGAGGTGTGTGTTCTGATGGCCGATGAACTCCTTCCTCGTGAGCTCGAGATTCGTTTGCGTGCTCCTCTTCCTGGTGAGCGGCAGACGGTTGTGGTTCCAGAATGTTCTCGAGTGCACGACTGCTTAAGGTTTGTTTTACTTTTCCCGAAGGGGATTGATAGTTGGTCTGTCTGACGTACCTTCGAAGCTGGATGGCCGCCAGGACTTAGTGCCAAGGAGTACTATGAATTTAACCTTCATGGGCGTGATGGTGAAAGACCTTGCCTCCTTTATGCAGCGCGTCTCTTCCACGAGTTTTGTTGCATGGCGTACGCTAAAGTTGAATCCCTCCGCTTAAAATGGGTGAGATTCCACCAAAACGAATTGCGCTCGGAGTATTATCAGGATTTACGAGACGCTGTGCAACAAAATCAACGTGGTGAGGGTGTTGGGACAAAAGTGGTTTTACCGGCAACGTTCACTGGGGGGTCTTGATATATGAGTGAAAGATATCACGACAGCATGACAATTGTGAGACGATTTAGAAAACCGGATCTTTTCATCACTATGACGTGCAACACTAACTGGTCGGAGATCAAACAAGCGTTGTTGTCAGGTCAATGTCATAACAACAGGCCGGATCTTCTTGCACGAGTGTTCAAAGGTTATCTTGCACAGTTGATTGATGAGATAAAGAACAAACAGATCTTTGGTAGAGTGAGTGGAATGTTGTATGTGGTGAAGTTTAAAAAATGGGGTTTAGCACACGGACATATATTGGTTATCCTGCATCCGGATGATAAAATTCGGGATGCGGATGAGTTGACAATGTGGTGTGTGACGAGATTCCTCCGGAAGGGGAATTGAGAGAAAGGGTGACCAAGTTCATGTTGCACGGGATTTGTGGTGCAGAGAAACGCGACGCTTTTTGTATGGAGGACGGAGAATGCAAAAAGAGATTTCCGAAAGATTTCATTTTAACAACAACATTCAAAGACGAACAAACGTACCCTTCGTATAGGAGAAGGAAACCAAGTGACGGTGGCTTTACGATTGTTCAAAATGGTGTCGTTTACGACAATCGGTGTGTGTCCTGTATAACCCGTACTTGCTAATGACGTTAAATTGTCACTTGAATGTTGAATATTGTGCTAACATCAAGGCGTGTAAGTACGTGTATAAGTACGTGTACAAAGAGTGCGATCGTGCTATGGTTTGCGAGCAAGATAATAATGCGCCTATTGACGATGTCAAATTGTATCAAGATATATGTGTTGTAGGTGCATGCGAAGCATGCTGGCGTCTATTTGAGTTCAACGTTGCTGAACAATGACTCGCAGTGAAAAGATTGTCCGTGCATCTCGAAAACAAACAAAAAGTGCAATTCGAACGTAGGACTGAGCATGATGTTGTTTCAAATGGGCCCCCGAAAACGAAATTGATGGCATGGATGGAACACAACTCTTTGAACAAACGTATTCCTAAAGGGGAGCTTCCTTTTTACACAGAAATCGTTAATACTCATGTCTTGGATAACAAACATAAGAAGTGGAATCGAAGAAAGTGTGACCTTCACTGTGGTCCCTTTGAAAAGATATCTTGGTTGCATCACGTGAGGATCACGGAAGGGGAACGATTTTATCTGCGTGTGTTGCTAAACGATGAACATTCTCGTGGGGTGCGTTTTTTTGTCGAAATTTGTACGGTGGGCGGAGTCGAACACGATTCGTTCCGATCTATGTGTCTTCGATTAGGCCTTTTGCAAACAGATGATGCATACGATCAATGCATAGACACAACAGCTGCGAATTACATTTCTGAAGAAGTTCATAAAATATTTGCTATGGTTCTTGCGTTTGGTCCGGTGAACGATTCGACCCGTTTCTTCGTACGACATTGGGATAAAATGCGTGGCGATTTTCAGTATCGCGCAGGCAATGAAATTGTTCCGGCGAACATTTTGCAATCCTTAGTGTTGTTCCATCTTAACCGTATTTTGCAAGAGTCTGAAAAAAACATCCGTCAGTTCTGCCTTTATTATCCTACACCCGACGAGGAAACGATTGCTGAGAACATAACGAGACATTACGAGAACAGAACTGTATCCTCGATTTTAAACGACGAGTTGTCATATGATCCGATTCAAATGCAATGCAAATATGAGTACAATTTTCGACATTTTCGTCCACGTCAACGAGTGTTGGTGGAAAGAGTCGTTCGGGCTGTGCAAGAGAAAAGACTGTTGCGTGCTTTTGTCGATGCACCGGCTGAAACAGGGAAGACTTTTTGCATTGAAGTGATTTTAGTGGGCATCAGGTCACGTTCTGCTATTGTACTGGCCATCTCGTCCAGTGGCATAGCGGCGACTCTTTTGACGGACGGTCGAACGTTTCACTCACGATTTCGCACACCTTTAAAACCTGATAACACTCCTCCCTTCTTGATTGCGAAAAAAGTGATATTGCGGAGCTTATCTGCCGTGCCGACTTGATTGTTTGGGATGAGGCTCCGATGAGTAACAAGTTTCACTTGGAAGCTCTTGACATCACGCTTCGGGACCTCTATAACAACGAACCATTTGGTGAGAAAGTTCTACTTCTAGTTGGAGATTTCAGACAGGGTTTGCCCGTTGTGAAATACGGATTGCGAGCGCAGCAAATTGATGCGTCCATGAAAATGTGTCCTTTGTGGAAAATTTTTGAGTTTCATCAACTAACCGAAAATATGCGAATCTTAAGCTTAGGGAATGATGAAATGGCACGAATGTATGCCCCCCTTGATGCGTATTGGGAATGGTGATCATCCTCGTATTGTTTCTAATGAACCTGCTGCTGTCATATTGCCACGTAAAATTTGTACGGATAAACCCATTGATGAGTTGATTTCATTGACGTTTGATGATGTGTCGAACCATGTGGGGGATGCTGAGTATTTCTTGCCTCGATTAATTTTATACCCTATTAATGACGATGCCGATTTTGTTAACAACCGTGTTCTTGACGACTTCGGTGGGGAGGTGCGTGACCTTTTCAGTGTTGATTATCCTGATTCGGATGATACCGGGCTTGGTATTGAGCGAGAGTTCTTAAACTCTCTCGACGAATCTGACCTTCCACCTCACAAGCTGCGCCTAAAAATTGGTGCGCCTGTAATGCTTTTGCGAAATTTACCACCGAAGCAAGTACTTTGCAACTGTACAAGGCTGATTCTGAAGAAGATCGTTAATGATGATTTGTTGGAAGTGACAATAATGCATACGGGTAAAACAACATTGGTCCCCAAGATTGATCTGACAAGCGATGGTGAGACAACTGGGTTCAAATGGTTTAGGAGGCAATTTTCAGTCCGTCTTGCTTTTGCTGTAACGATTAACAAGTCGCAAGGACAAACCGTATCGTGTGTCGGGGTTTGGCTACGCAAACCGTTTTTTGTCCATGGCAAACTGTACGTTGCTTTGTCGCGTGTTGGCCATCCCAACAACATCTGTGTTGCATTGCCTGATAATTTTTTTTTACGAAGAATATTGTATATCATGAACTTTTGGGGTGAGTCATTTTTTTTTTTTTTCGTCGAGCCTTCGCATTCCAAATAGTTTCGTCATATTCTTTCTTTGCATGCGACTCTTGAATGTCGCATAAGTATCACACTCGTGCTAAGAGGAAAGCAATGGGAAACAGCAATACCACTCAATATGATACGAATGTTACGTCAAAACCTGGAGCCGAACATTCGAGGAGGTCGAAGAAAAGTGGAAATGATGAGAGGTCGGTGAATCTTGGAAGTGAACATCCTCGGGACGATCATCATGTTTTTGGTGAGGTTGAAGGTCGATGTTCGCAAGGGAATACCCTTGATGATGCTAAGAACATGGTAATGGAGGGGGGGGGTGACGATTGTCGTGTCGATGGGGATGGTTCGCGTAGAGGTCAGTCGAGTGGGCCTCTTAACCTTACATTTGTCGATGATGAGGATGATACCGTTACGGACGATTCCAAAGAAGACTATGTTGAATCTATTTTCAAGAGGAAAAAAAGTTGTGGTACGAAAACTAATCTTTTGGAGTCCCCCGAAGTGGCGGAACTTACCTTGGTTGATAATCAAGTGGGACGACAATCTGTTGTTGATGAAACGAGAACTCAGATTGTAAGAGCGCTAAATGCGCTCCCTGATGATGCACTTGCATCTCTTTCGTTTTGTGCACCGCTCGCTGGGCGTGCACGTGTTCATGATTCGTCTTCGCAATCTCAACGCAATGGACGTGAAAGACATGTTTACGCCACATCGCAATCACAAAATCCTCCGGGGATTATTGTGGTGCCCGATGATAACGATGCACTCACATTTCGCACTCCGAATCCGCGCGCTTACTTTGCTAGATGGTTTGACGATGCGAAGAAGGTTGACATCCAAAATGTCTTAACTGAGGTGTTTTTTGAAATGTTTGTCAAAAGTGTTACAGTCGTGAAAGATGGACGAATATGGAAAAACTTCCTGGAGTGGAAAAGAAACAAACTCACTAATATGTGGTTGGAACGATGATTCCCTCTTCCTTCATACTCGTTGAATGTTTCGGATTTTGAGGCTTCTTCCATGTTGCAATCACTTTTGAACGATGAGTTCATCGCTCTGTCTAATGAGGAGATTACTAGGATGACATTTGATTTGCCGCATTGTCCGACAGAAGGGACCATTCCCCAAGCCTTTCACAAATATGCACGAATACAGCAACTTCTCAAAAGAATTTCTCCCGTGGTTGTTTTTTCCACTCCTCATTCCGCTCCGGTCCGTAGACTCCCCCTTCAAGCAGCATCTCCTCCCAATTTTCAACGTCTTGCGGATTATGCTTCACCCTCCAATTTGTCAACGCCGATTGTCACTACTTCTGTTGTTGTTTCTTCTTTGTCGGCCGCTACGGCTACTCTGTCTCCTGTCAGTTGTGTTGTGCCCGCTCATACGCCATAAAGAGACGATCTGCATGTCCATACAGGAGCATTGGAACAACCAAGTTTTTCTAATTTTAACATTACTATGTACGACTCTATTGAATCTATTGGTCTGAATAAGACACTTGCACACCTGTCCTATCTTGACAGTTCTCATAGAGTGCAAGATATTGTGGAAGCCGCAGCGGAATTGAATACGAGTATGA